TTCCACTTTTACACAGTGATACAGCTCTGGGATCCAGCCAGAGTTAAAGGAATCTTCCACTTTTTATGACCTGCAAAGAACTCCCTTTGCTGTATGGCTCAGATGAGCCTTAGGATGCTGAAGAAGGTAAAGATATGCCTTTCTGGCATATTAACTCTTTTGAGATAAAGGCACTTAAAAAAAAAAAAGAGGCAGGCGTCGGAAGATCATTCTGAATTTCTTGTTGTTTCTTAAAGGCAAGAAATAGAATTCCCCTATGAAAGATGTTCTCCTTATAGTAAAAGGAAGGGAACGTTCTTATCATCAAGGACCAGAAGGTGGAAGCTTCCAAATCTCCTCCAACTCTGAAGCTGAAATTTGATCCCTAAAGTTGGAGCCGGGGCTCAGTGGGAGGTGTGTGGGTCCTGGAGGTGTCACCCTCTGAATAGAGTCCTGCCCTCCTTTAGGGTGAGTTCTCACTCTGTTGGTTCCCTGAAGAGCTGGTTGTTGAAAAGAGCCTGGCACTCCCCTCCCCTCTCTCTCTGGCTTCCTCTCTTGTGCAGTCCTGTGACCTCTGCACACACATGGGTTCCCCTTCACCTTCCACCATGAGCAGAAGCAGCCAGAGGCCCTCACCAGAAGCAGAGGTGGGCCCTATACTTGCTTCCTTCCATTCTCCCTCCCTCCCTTCCTTTCTCTCTCCCTCCCTCCCTCCTTCGCTCCCTTTCTTCCTTCCTTCCTTTCTTTTTATCTTCTTCCCTCCCCTCCCCTCCTCTCCTTCTTTTTTCAGTCTTGCTCTGTTGCCCAGGCCCCTCCTACCTCAGCCTCCCAAGTAGCTGGGACCACATCCAGCTAATTTTTAAATTTTTTGTAGAGATGGGCTGTCATTATGTTGACCAAGCTGGTCTTGAATTCCTGAGTTCAACTGATCCCCCGACCTTGGCCTCCCAAAGTGCTAGGATTACAGGCTTGAGCCACCATGCTGGGCCACCGTGCTTTTTTTGTTTTTTTGACCTGAGTCTCACCCTGTTGCCCAGGCTGAAGTGCAGTGGCGTGATCTCAGCCCACTGCAACGTCCGCCTCCCGGGAAGTTCAAGCAACTCTCCTGCCTCAGCCTCCCGAGTAGCTGGGATTACAGGCGTGAGCCACTGCACCCAGCCACCGTGCTTCTTGTACAGCCTGGGAAACCATAAGCCAATACCTTTTTTTTTTTTCCAATAAATCATCCAGCCTCAGGTATTCCTTTAACAACACGAAACAGACTAAGACAGAAGCCAAGAGAAATCTATACAAACAAACTTTATTAAACTAACCCTTATCTTCCTAGTTGTTGCCACAGTTACTACTCTTTGTTCAACCTAGTGTGTAAGCATTTTGACCTAGTCATTTCTTCACCCCATTGACTATCCTCACCCAAGCCCCGTGGCCTTATCAAATCTCACAACTTACTAGTGTTTGTCCACCTCTGTATATAAGTGACCCTAACTGCATCTTTGCATCTTCATTTCCTTATGAGGGCTCCTGTGTCACATTAAATTTGTATTAAATAACTGTATGTTTTTCTCCTGCTCATCTCTCTAATGTCAGTCTAATTCTTGGGCCCAGCCTGGACCCTAAGATAAGGGAGGTAGAATTCTGCCTCCCCTACAGCGCCCCTTGTTGATGCATGACAGGCCCACTGTCTTGGTCTGTTTTGCATTGCTGTAAAGGAATACCAGAGGCTGGGTTATTTATCAAAACATTTTTTAGCTTATGGTTCTGCAGGCTCTATAAGAAGCAAGGCTCCAGCATCTGCTTCTGATGCGGCCCTCAGGAGTCCTCCACTCATGATGGAAGATGAAGGGGAGCCCCTGTGTGCAGAGGTCACAGGGAAAGAGAGAGGAGGAGGTACTGGGCTCTTTTTAACAACCAGCTTTGGCAGGAACTAATAGAGCAAGAACTCCACTCCCCACGAGGGAGGGTAGGAGTCTATTCATGAAGGATCTGCCCCCAGGACCTAAGCACCTCCCACCAGGTTGCACCTCCAACACTGGAGATTAAATTTCAACATGAGAATTAATGAGACAAATACCTTATTCAAACTATAGCACCCACTACATTGCCATCTTTGTCTTATCAATTACTACCTGAACCCCTTGTCCCCATGGGTCAATCCACACAAGGTGCTTGTTTGCCCAGCCTTGGTTCAGCTTCTCCCCTCCCCCAGGGCCCTGATGTTTGGCCCCTCCTGGAGCAGGCCAGGCTCAGGGTAAAGTATCCTCAATCTCTTGTCCCCTCAGCCACCCTTCACCCCACTTCCCCAGACCTGGTTCTTTCCAGCCTCATTCATTCCTCCCTATATGAGAAAACTCCTCTGCGTCACCTTTGAGAGCTTGCAGACCTTAAGGTCAATGCTTTCTCCCTATTGCAGTATTCTGGTGTCTCCTGTTGCGATATCCTTTTGCATAAAGATCTCTGCTTACTAAGTCTGGTTTGGTTTTTTTATTGGACAGTGGTTTTTACACAGAAGGCCTGCTGCTCTCTGCTCATCGGGTCTGGTTGGCTGGTCAGACATGTGGAAGGACCCTAGGACCATCCACCTGTGAAGTCCACCCAGGCTCACCCCTGGTGTAAACGATGTGGGGTCTGACCTGGCCAGACCAGATGCTGCTCAACCGTTTAACTGCCTGTGAGGATTTGGACACGTTCGATCTTCCTGGAGCTGTCTCTCGAGAGGGGCAGCCTTGGGACTCTCCAGGTGTCCTTAGGGCTAATGGGGCTGATGATGGGCGGATGATGGATTACCAGCAGCTGCTGCGACCTCCCCAGGAGCACCTGCAGCGACCTCCCCAGGAGCACCTGCAAAGCAGCCCTTTCTGCCTCATGACTCTGCCCAGGCCTCTCTGCGGAGCGTGGCACAGGCTTGGCCAGTTCTCTGAGTGCATCCAAGAGGCTCATAGGTTTTGGGCATATGTCTGCGACCTCACTTTTCCAGTCATAAGGGTTTTGCCTTTAGATTCTCAGGGCTTTGAGCCCCCAAACCACCCAGACATAGCACAGGATGCCACCTGGTTCTATGTGTCTGAGCAAACAAATGCACACTCACACGAAGCACAGAATGCAGGGCTGCCTAAATGCGGACCCACCCACCCCTGGCAAGGCTTGAGAACAGCCTCTATATTACATGTAAAAGCACTTTTTAGATGATCAGCTGAACAGTTCATTTTCTTGATCTCCAATCATTGTGTTCTATGTTGTTAAAACCCCCAGAAGGACCAAGACCCAGAGAAAAATGTCCCCTGAAAACTTCCCAAGAGGAGAGATTTCCTCTGCAAACTGAAGAAAGTGTGAGATATAAACATTCCTCCCAAGGAACTGGTCTGTCAAGGCCTCACGCATTCGGTAAATCAGTGTGTGTTCTCTGTCTCCTCATTCTCTCTGCTCATGGTTTTGTATGTACAGCTGAGGCAATAATGGGCCTTGTGTCCTCTTGTTAAAGTTCTTTGAGATTTGGGGGTCCTACATGGTTGGTCATGTTGCATCATCTCTAGGAGCACTCCTATCAGCAAACAACATGCTATTGCTTGTCCAATTTATCAATTGGCATTTCTCCTTAGTCTGGACAGCAGCAAGGCTGAAACCATCTGAACTTTCACAAACTCACTGTAAGCGCAGAGAGGGGGTCTTACAGGAACAGGCACTCCTTCTAGGTCGGGGGTAAAAAGTGCACAAAGCAATGGTGAGCTCTGTCCTCCAAAGACTCTTGCAAAGCCAGTGTGCACTAGGGTTTCCCACTGTTTGTTAGAAAGAATGCCTTCTTTCTCCATCCAATATGCCCTCTCATCTGGCACCCCACTTCTCCGGCCCACTCTGCAGGAAACTCCATCAGTAGGAAGCATTTTCTTGAGTTCTGTACTTCAAATATGCTATGGAAGCAGCCACATTCCTTGTTGATGATAGTCAGGGTTAGTTTCAAAGGGTTCTAGTTGGCACAGGGATTTCTGAATCTACAAGACAAAAATGTGGAGAGAAAATAAGTTAGTATGAAAAAACAAGGGGAATAGCTGACAATACCAGCTCCTAGTGTGACTGTTGATTTTGTGCACTCGGGCTGACCC